ATAATGTATCTAAAATATATTAGTTTTAAATTTTATAGTGCAAATTGTGTAAAAGTACATACCTTTTACCATCTGTTTTAATAGCTTTCACGCTTTTTTGGTTTCCATTTTGCCAAGAGCGACCTATGGTCCCATTTTGAAATATCCAAGTTTCATCGAGGAAGACAAACTGGTATAAGGCCTCAACCTTGGCTTGATTGTATTGCCTTAGAAATTCCACCCTTTTCAAAGCTATACTTGGTAGTTCCATGAGCCCTCGTCGCGGATTGTCCTTAAGCCACTTAAATCCAAGATCTCTAAGCAACCGCCTTAAAGACGTGGCACTACCATCAAATAATGCCCTATCTCTTAATCGAGACCATAAAGTTTGTATCGTAACTTGTTCTTCTGAAACCATGTGTAATATGACATTATAATTTAGTTAACAAATTAATGCAAATTTCTGATAAGTTATTATAATAAGATCTTACTTTTGTGATACATATTATAGATCACTTCTCGAATGGCACTTGTATCCAATGTCGCTGTGTTGGTTACACGTTTAATATAACTCCGCTTTTTCTTGGGCGATTCTAAATTTGCATCACTTTTCACACCCTCGGAAATACGACTAACTGTCCTTAAACTAATTTTTAAAGCAGCAGCAATACGCTACAAAAAATGAAATAAAATTTCACTATTATTAATATACATTACATATAATTATTAGTAACCTACCTCTTGAACAGCATTTAAAGGCAACAAAGGCCCGTTGTTGTCCCTTTCTTGCTCAAAGTAGTGCATTAACGAGGCCACGAGTTCCTTACACCGACTATTTAACTGTTTGGGCATCTTTATATACCAAAATTGCCTTTATCTACTCGTAAAATGAATAATTTTGTTTTGAAACAAACAGTTGTTGATTTACAGTATGCGGGGCCAAAGGATTTATAAAGATTTGAAATGCCACAAATTGATTCAGTGTCAAAATTAATACAAATGTCAGTTCCCAGTTTAAATAAGTTTCAAGGTGACAATGTGTCAACGCTGCGAAATCGGTTTAGTGCGTTTACATGTCGATAAGTGATTGGAGCGTTTGCAAAACATTTTATTTCGCATAATGCGTCTAAATTTATCAGAAAGCAACTTATGTGATATTTTAATAACAATGTTTATATGACTATTAACCATAATAAGAGAGTAATGACCATTTTACAATTTATATATCACATTAATATGAAACTGCAATAGAGCAATTGTTTGTGATAGAAACCTAGGCATTAGGTCGGGGAATTTTTATCGTGATGACGTGCACGCCACTTTGTTTGGCGTTGACTATACTTGTATTTACATGGGATTTTTTATTATTTGCCTAAGGGGAGAAATGTAACTTCTTCTGGTGAGAATGCGGTAAATAATAACGATTTCTCAGGTTAGCAGTGAAAAAACTCATCGTGATCGTTGAATGGCGATTTCCAATATGCTAATAAGGAACAGTACCAAATAAGAAACATATATCTTAAGAAATTATTTTTTATTGAACGAAACAAAGTTTACAGCTTTATATTTTTGTGACCATGTTACATAACTACGTACTTATGTTAAGGTCTATTCAGGGTTTTTATTATAAACTTCCCACCACTGATTTAACGAAAACCTCTGATTAAAAGAAAAAACGCCGAGACACATCAAAAGATTTGTCAAGGGGGACAACTTTTTAACCAAAAACTACTTCACCCCCTTTCACCCTCCGCCCTCCAAGGTCATTCTCTTAAAAAATATAAAGGACAAGGGGTTTTCTTTTTTTTTTTATATCGAAACAGCCGCGCAGGCAGAAGCCTAAATGCCGGAACACCGCGGCTGCTATGATGATCCCAAAGAAATTTTGTTAATACGATTTTTGAACTGCCTAAGGTTAGTAGAACTGGGAAAAGCTTCCTCCCGTAGATTGTTCCACAATCTAGACACCCTCGGGACAAAGGAGCGGTCGTATCGGCCAGTTCTGGATGTACGAAGTTTGACACGGTTAGGATGGGACACCGAAGTCAGGCGGGTCTGTCTGGCAGTCACATCGCGCGGCGGCATCATAGAAGAGAGCTCTGAGGAGCAAAGCCCGTTGGTGTAGCGATAGAAAAGAGCTAGATCGCCGACGGCCCGCCGGTGCGAAAGAGTCCCGAGACTGTCTGTTAAAGAAGAGTCATCGATCAGTCGGACCGCCCTCCTCTGGACAGCATCGAGCATGGACAATGTAGTCGGGGCGGCAGCACCCCAAATGTGTGAGCAATACTCGAGGCTAGGCCTTATCTGGGCCTTGTATAGAGTGAGAAGGTCATGCGGAGAAAAGTACTTCTTAGCCCTAAACAAATAGCCTAGCTTTTTCCCAGCAGCTGCAGCTATTGAAGAGATGTGTTCGTGCCAGATCAGGTCCTCGGTGATCTGGACTCCGACCAGCCGAAATGAATGGCTCTTTGGTAGAACTCGACCGTCCATCGAAACTGTATGAGCGCTAGGACGCTTTTTGTTCGTCAAAGTACAGTACTGTGTTTTGGAAGCATTGAACTGTACAAGATTGTTGCGTCCCCAAGCAGTGATAGCCTCCAGGTCTCTTGTCAGAGAAGAAGTCGTCGCGATCGGCTTGTCACTCTGAATTCCTGCATGTAGAGTGCTGTCATCAGCGAAGCTGTGGATTGGGTTGATCGTGCAGGAAAGGAGGTCGTTGATATGTAAGAGAAACAGTGTTGGAGCCAAGACCGATCCCTGGGGAACACCCGCGTTGACGTTGTGAGATGAAGAGGAGAATCCGTCAATTACGACGGATATCTTGCGGCCAGAGATAAAGTCAGCCACCCATCTGCAAAGCTTTTCTGGGAGGCCGTAGGATGGAAGTTTGCTTAAGAGGGCAGCGTGCCACAGCTGATCGAACGCTTTCGTGATGTCAAGAGCAACGATATGAGCCTCACCATGAGACTGGATGAGTTTACTCCACAGTTGCGTGACGTAAGCTAGGAGGTCCCCTGTGGATCGTTGGTGCCGGAAACCGTACTGCCTGTCGCTAATCAAGCTGTGACGTTCGAGGTAGTCGAGAAGCTCGCGATTTATGCACCTCTCCATCACTTTACTTATAACAGAAAGCAGAGCTATAGGTCTGTAGTTGTAAGGGTTGGTTTTAGATCCTTTTTTTGGGATGGGCTGTACATGAGCAAATTTCCAGTTTTCTGGGAAGGTGCCGGATTCATAAGATATCTGGAAGAGACGCGAAAGAACTGGAGCAAGCTCCGCTGCACATCTCTTCAGTACAATGGCAGGAATCAAGTCCGGACCAGAAGCTTTGTTGATGTCGAGCGACAAGAGCACTCGTCTTACGGTCTTATCCCTGAATGTTACCTCCCGCATAGTGTGGGGAACCCTTTGAATTGACGGCACTTGGGCGTTGGTGGGGACGTCCATGGTGGAGTTGGCAGCAAAGATCTTCGCTAGCACTTCCGCCTTGGCCTTTGAGTCGAATACAATAGTTCCATCCTGACACGTAAGTGGTGGAAGGCTACTGTGTGAGAAGTTCTTTTCAATCTGCTTGGCCAGCGTCCAGAAAGACCGACTGCCATTGCGCTGCGACATTACCCTGTGCCTAACTTTTATATCATGCTGGTTTTTGGCAACCTCTTCGTTATATTTGTTTCTGGACTCGACGTCGGCTTGTCTGTTCTCTACAGTGGGGTTTTGTAAGTAGGTTCTGTGGGCCTTGATCTTCTGCTGGCGAGCAGTGTCACACGATTTGTTGAACCAGCCGTTGGACCCTGGTTTAGGAACTTTCACTGTGTGAGGGATGTATTCCTCCATTCCGACGTGGATAATTTCGGTTATTGAAGAACAGACAGTCGACGCATCCGCGTCAGTGAAACAGACATCTCTCCAAGGAAAGCTAGAGAAGAAGTCTCTGAGCCCCTCCCAGTCGGCATGTCCGTAATGCCAAGTTTTGCGGCCTGTGCGAGTTTCTGCTGCCACAGCGGCTTCGGACCGAAACCTAACCTCCACAACACCGTGATCTGAGTTACCCAGGGGGGACAGGACAGCAGTGCTGTAAGGGGCAGGATGCGTGGTCAGAAAGAGATCCAGCAGGCTACTGGCGTGTGACGAGACGCGGGGGAAAAAAGTAGGGCTCGTCACCAGCTGGGTCAGCCCTTGAGTAAGAGCGAACGCTTCGACTGCACGACCTGCTGCATCGGTCTTATTTGAGCCCAACCAAAGCTCATTATGGGCATTGAAATCACCGAGAAGAACTACCTCTGAAGCGGGGTGATTGATGTTCAGGAAGTCGATCTGGACGGCGAGGTATTCGAGTAGGTCATCCCAGTTATGGTTCGAGGGAGAGCGATAAAGGCAGCAAATAAATTTGGGTGATGTTTTGGAGTTGAGGCGAAGCCACAGAATGTCCTTCCGGTCTGATTCCAAAGAAAGATCTCTGGAGCAGGAAAGACTGCTGCGGACAAAAGCCACAACTCCCCCGTTCTTTCTCAGATTGGAGTGCACCTCGTAGTTTGGGAAGTTGAGATGGTTAATCGGTGCAGTCTCTGAGATTTTTGTCTCCGCCAAGAAAAGCACGGCGGGACGATTGGATTGCAGGTAGTGATGAACAGCATCAATGTTGCTGTTGATCCCGCAGATGTTCGAAAAACAAATTTTATCTTCGATGTTGTTCCCTCGAGCCCACCCTCCACCCGGACATTCCGAGAGTGGAGTGAGTTTACGTCCGGAGTTTTTAGTGCTCGAGGGATCCATCATCATTAATTTCTTTGTTTTGGTAGATAACCGACTGCATAGCTTAGGTGTGGAAACATGCGGACATTTATAAGACACCCTGGGAAAAGCTAGCGGGTGGTACTGCCTCGGTCGACTGGTCCTTGTCTACCACCTTCTTTTTACGTGTTAGTGATGTTAAATAGACCTAAAGTGGCCCGGGTATCGAGTAATAGCATGTTTGAAAGGTCTTTCGAGGTCCTTTACTTTTCTCGAAAGCGAATCGACTCATTTTAAAAAATCAAACGTCAAAATAAAGACCGGTCAAACAAGCTATTACTCGATACCCCTCTTCATTTAAAATTTTTAAGGGGATGAGGGCAGAGGATGAAAAGAGGTGAGATAGTTTTTGGCTAAAAAGTTGTCCCCCTTGACAAATATTTTGACGTATTTCGGCGTTTTTTCTTTTAATCAGTGGTTTTTGATAAATCCGTGATGAGAAGTTTTCAAATGAACACCCTGTATTTCTTCAAAGTATTGATATAATACATTATAATATGTGTATTCGAATGTTTCAAAAATGACCTTGAAATCACCTCCAAAATCAACGAAACAACGTTCAAGATCACAATCTGTTGGCTTCACTTGTAATAGTACGGGTTTTTTTAAAATGCCAATCAAGGTACTGGTTATCTCTCCAAATTCAGTGAAGAACAGGGTATTCTGAACATTGGGATTTTCCTCTTTAAAATCAACAACATATAAAATAGCAAAGCTATTATGTGTATAAAACAGCAGAAAAAATGTAGGAAAACATGAAACTGCTTATTTGATATGAAACTTCATTATGTACTAACCTGCTACATGTTGCTTATAAATACACTATTCGAAAACACATGTTTGTGAACTTTCTCCTCAATTTGCAACATTCGCGGCTGACTGACTCTCTACACTGACCTTCTCGCCTTTGCCACAAACGGTCTTTGTACGAAATAAAGAAACCTACGCGGTGCGGGATGGGAACGTCTATCAAGACGATCTGAATACACTTGCGAAGCATCAGTAGCATCTTGTGAGCAAATTTTCGGATACACCTTTTCTACTTCCATCTAATCGAAACAGGGCCGGATTGGATATCGCAGGTAAAAACTTTACTGTATGTTATTAGGAAAATTTGCTAATTTTTTCAAGAACTATCCTTGTGTAATTTCCCAATTTCAAGATACCCTGTACATATCTTCAAACGTAACAATAAGGAAACAAAACATCACGTTCTCTTTTATTACGTATATCTTCTATGCTTGGCTTCTTGCAAGTATGGATGCAAGTGTTGATGCGCTATAGTATGACAGTTGCCATAGAAACTGAACATGTCAGCCGTGTACGTTAGATGGTGAGTTGCAGCTGTATCCATTTTGGTACTGAGGTTCTCAGGTCTTTGAGCTTTGATGTGGTGGTGGTGAGGAACGTCAGAAGCGGGATGGGTTGGTTGGTGATGAGTTGCGGCACCGTACGCCATGTTGAACAAAGCCTCAGGGTCGCAAACGAATTTGTAGACGTATCTCTCGCCTGAAAAATAATCAAGCATACCTTCAATTTTATTCGTACTTACCAACCGGTGTTTAATACAATATACAGGGTGACTTCGAGGTTGAGTCATTTATTTTAACAGGGAGTAGATCTGATCAAAAGAAATGTTTTTTTCCTTTAACATTTTTCTGGTAAAATTAAAGTAACAAAGTTATAGCCCTTTAGAAGTTTGAGTACCGCCCTGTCTCAATAATATATTATGTGCTCGTGTTTGGCAACAACCGATATAATTCGCCTTATCGGTTCATCGCATCGGAAACAAAAAAGCGAAAGAATTTGAAACGCTTATCACGATGTTTTTACTACAATTTTATTCAGTTGTATTCAGTCAATGTGTCAGTCGGTAACGCATGAGTGAATAGTGGTGTTTGTTGCGTGGCTCAAACGAAATAAAAAATGGTACATGTTTACGAAAATGCTGAACTTGTGGACATGATTTCTTATTTACGGAGGGGGGGGGGAGATTTATGCGGATCGGTTTTCCAATCGAGTGCAACCAACCCCTCGTGCGTTTGTTAATGTAGTACAAAGGGCTCGTGAATTAGGTGACTTAAGACCTCACAGGGGAGGGCATGCCGGTGCTCCAAGACCGCACGATCAAACACAGGCCGTACTGAAATACTTGTCGGGAGGATACTTTATAAAACAAGGTAACATTTTTTTTAAATTTTTTTTATTTTTACACACATATTTTGATTTATCTTCCTTCTACAATCATTATCTGAAAATTAATGACTCAACTTCAAAGTCAATAGTGCAATCTTGTCTGATATAATTAAAATAATATATAATGTTCGATCCTAAATAATACACATAGGTAATAAAAGATTCAAGTCAGTTTTCTCACCTGCGACTTTTTGCATAATGCCCTTTTCATAGTAGTATCTCAAGGATCTGCTTAGTTTATCATAGTTCATCGCCGGTCGGTTTTTCTGGGCACCCCACCGACGAGCTACCTAGAAGATAAAGATATAAAATAACAAAAGCATGTGCATATGTAACAGGGGCGTATCCAGCTCAAAACGGAAGGGAGGCGGGCACCTTCCAAAAGTTCCACAAATCATATCTACATAGCTATGCTTGATATTTTTCTTTCTATTTGCATTTCAGTCTTCCACGACGATTTGAAAATTCATATGGATATGGAAAACTACTAGAATTACTTTTTTAAAACATTCAAGCAAATATTGCTCGAGATGCTTTTTTAAGTAATAATTTAGTCGTTTGCAATACTCGACAGCAACACTTGAGATAATATATGACAAATGTTTGCTATACTGCAAATTTTTTATATCTATTTTTTTGGGCGTACCTATCCCTCAAATTCAAACAGGGTGCTCATTTTTTCAGCCAAGTCAATAGACCAAGGAGGTTCTGTAATCGCAAAAGAAAACTTCAAATGGAAGATTAAGATGGTTATATTCTTGTAGCGTTCGTCAGGTAATCCTTGGCCCTCTTATAGACAGACAAATATTTATAGTTTTTGTTAATCGGTCCTGCTGCCATAGAGCAATCGTGAAAACACTAATTAATCATTGGTTTTTCTATGTCTTAGAAAGTATTACTGGGTTTTTCATAAATGTTTAAAGGCCTGCCTAATGGTACCAGTATTATGAACAAATAATCTATAACTTCCTATCTTTTTTTTTCGTTTCTGATGATTTTGAACGCAATCAAAAATATCCTCAGGTGACACGAAATTCAAAAAGAAGTAAGCTTACAACTCGTATATTACAATATGCCACTTTCAAGGAAAAAGTTTTGAGATATTTTTGATATATTCTTAGCATATTATACTAATTCCGAAAATAATTATTCTTTGTCGATATTAATTGGTTGTTTTTCCACAATTACTTAGAATTTCGTCATATAGAGAAAAATAGTTTTATAGAACATAAATATAGAAAGATATGTGTGTCTAGTTGTTCTAGTATGATTTGAAAACCAAATTTGTCATATTTTCACCATTGAGATCTTCAAAGCGGAAAGAGATACAGGTTATGAACGCCCTACGCAAAGTTGCGTATTTATATACAGGGTGTCCGCAAAGTTGGGGTTTTCCTTTACAGGACGTGTAGATCTTGAAAACATAAGCAACTTTTCTTAGTACCATATACACCAATGTCTTAAGGGAACCGAGATAAAGGGCTCTGCAACATCAAAAATATCTGAATACCGTCCTGTAGCCGCGACTCGCGATATCCCCAACTGGTACCGGCTACTAGCTCAACCCGACGACAGAACTGGGTCGGGGGTCGGGGTCAGTGTGTCAGGTCAGTATGCAACCTTCAACCGACGGTTACGGTCACGCGTGTAGAGGTAAACGAACTCGTATAATAGATTGCGTTTCAAAAAACAACAAGCACTAGAGACGTGGCTAGAGAAGTGCAAGTATCAAAAACTAAAGTGTGACAAACGCTGCGTGAAGAGGGGCTGTATCCGTTTCACGTTCAACGTGTACAAGCCCTTCAACCTGACGATTTTACAGCAAGAGTGCGGTTTTGTGAGTGGTTGTTGCATCAACATGACAATAATCCGGACTTTTTGAAGTGCATATTGGTGACAGACGAATCTACGTTCACGCGTAATGGGGTGAATAGCTTTCGCAACACTCAAGTTTGGTCAGTGGAAAATCCGCACGCTGTCCGTCGGGCACATTTTCGGTGAATGTTTGGGCTGGCATGGTGAACGGTAGGCTCATTGGACCATTTATTCTCCCAAATCGATTGGACGGGATGCAATACCTAGACTGTTTACGTCTGCTCGGTAGCGCATCAGCTGATTTCATTTTCTGTTGGAGCGGTATGATTTCGGGCAGAGACGAACTTAGCCCTTCTCGTCAACTGGAGAGTGAGTACTTTTTCCTTTATTTTTTTTTATATGGTCGCCCTCGTTTCACTACACATTACCTTTGTTATTTCAAGGGTAGTTGTTTCTGAAAAGGAAAACCCCAACTTTGCGGACACCCTGTATTTTAGAAAATGTATTTTAAAAGCTTTGACGCTTCCAGTATTTCGCGAGATACACGGAAAGGGGAACGAATTTTTTCTGAACTTTCTCCAGATAGGATTTCAAAATAAACTGCACATTCACTTCGCCATTTTTTGATCTTTGCAAGGTGACATAAATACAACATTAATATGATTTTTCGTCTCTTATCTACTGTCTCAACCATGATTTTTCTTATGTTTGCCATTTTTGCATAGGCGGATCCTAGTAATTTCCCATGGAATAGACATTGACTTAGCTGGAGGAGAACCTTATACAGGGTGACTTCGAAGTTGAGTCATTTATTTTAACAGTGAGTAGATCTGATCAAAAGAAATGTTTTTTTCCTTTACCATTTTTTTTGGTAAAATTAAAGTAACAAAGTTATAGCCCTTTGGAAGTTTGAGTATCGCCCTGTTCAATAATACTCGTAATATCATGTGCTCGTGTTTGGCAACAACGGATATAATCCGCCTCGGTTCATCGCATCGGAAACAAAAAAGCGAAAGAATTTGGAACGATGTTTTACAATTATTTTCTTCAGTTCAGTTATACATACAGTCAGTGTCAGTCGGTAAGGTGTGTGAATAGTGTCTGTTGCGTGGCTCAAACGAAATAAAAAATGGCACATGTTTATGCGGATCGGTTTCCCAATCGAGTGCAACCAACCCCTCGTGCCTTTGTTAATGTAGTACAACGGGCTCGTGAATCAAGTGACTTAAGACCTCACAGGAGACCTCACGATCAAATACAGGTCCGCACTGAAATACTTGTCGGGAGGATACTTTATAAAACAAGGTAAAAAAATTTTTTTAATTTTTTTTTATTTTTACACACATATTTTGGTTTATCTTCCTTCTACAATCATTATCTGAAAATTAATGACTCAACTTCAAAGTCACCCTGTATATGTATATTTTTTCAAGGATAAGGGGGCCGCTGCCCCCTTGCCCGCTCTGGGTACGCCCTTGATATGTATAGAGAAATAAGGCTGACTGTTCGGTAATATCGTTCCGAAAATAGATGCGGCAGTGTTTCAGGGATGATTTAATTTAGATCAACATCCTCGTCGGATTGGATATGATACTTTTGAAGACGGTATTGGGATGAATTCTTGAAAGATGACCCATCGAGAAACCAGAATTCCTCGGACAAACAGCCTCTTCTGTTCGAATAATGTAGGGAAAAAATTCACTCAAAAAAGAGAAGAAATCAGAGATGGAAAAAGTAAAGATGGAATCTGTAAATAGAATACTTTAAGTTGTGGTGTATATGTTACCGGTAATCTGCAGAATTCAGGTATTCTATATAATATAGAATATCTGGGTTGCCCAGGCAGTGTATGAAATATTATGAATATTATTATCCATTACATACTTTACCTAGGGATTGTAAAGAGTACCTGCTGTTCCACCGGCAATGTGTAAAATAAATAGATCTTAGTTTAAATTTATCAATGCTAACCGTCATACCTATAAAGTGTCCGGCAAATGAAACGACTTATATTATTTAAAATCAACTTCATTGAAATCATTTTTTTTTATTTTCCTGCGGAGATTGTAGTGTGGGCGTCGTTTCGTTTCAGATTCTGGGATATTAGACCCCCAAACACCAATTTATGGAGTAGTACCCTTTTTATGTGGTACCTTACGTTTAGTTGTTTTGGTTTGGGTGCTACCCCGTCCATTTTTTTATGGGATTTTAACCTTCAGCGTGGGAAGGCAATGCGGAGAACCACTATTGAGACTCCTCAAGTTTTGTTTAGTAGGTGTCTTGTAGCTGTTTTGCAGCTGATATTGCTGGAAGACACCCCTTCCCCTTGAGCAAAACCCGTTCCGAGCTTTCATCTTTTACATATATTACCGCCTGCGCATTCGGTGTTGTATAGAATACCTAGGCAAATTATAAAACAAATAATGTTTCATACGTTACCTACACGTTTTAGGTATTCTATATATTACCTAGGTATTGTATAGAATACCGGATTATACAGATTGTCGGTAACATATATAATAGTATTATTTTTTAATGAATCCTTTGGATTTTATTAGAAAAATTGTGAAAAATTATGGTACGTTTATTGAATCGGTCAAAAATTAATGAAAACTGCTAGTCTGCTGAATTTGTGTGTAGTTAGTCATATTTTACGATGTTGATCTTGACTGGTATCTTAAGTCTCCTATGTTACCATTCATTAAATTCCAATTTTATACAAAAATTAACACTACCAAAAAATCAGCATCCTTCAAATATCTTTTGTACCAAGAAGCTTGTCATATTCTTATGTGTTCGAAATAACAAGAAAAACACTGTCACTTGTAGGTACTTTCAAAGAATATAAACAGCCAACTTGCGAATATGATCTTGTAATATATGGAGTAGTACTAGTATATCGTGTTTGAAACTTACATGGAACACAGAACCTCGTATTAGTACCAGTCACAATTAAATTCACTCGTAATAGTTATTACATCATACTTTTTATGAAATTGTTAAATCGTCTGAAATCTTTGCCCGATTATTTTCTGTTTTGCTACTGTCTCTTAGATTGCGCTAGTAGATTCCGGATCTCTTTTTAGACGCCGGCATACAGTATACCGGGTGTTTCATCATTGGAATCTCGCAAACGATTAAAGACACGAAGTTACTTAAATAAAGTCAAAGTTGCGTATTTAGGTAAATGCCGCTTAAGAAGTTTTGAAATGCAAAGTACTTACGGAGAGAGAAAAAAAACACAAATTTCCCAAAATCGTTTTAATTTTTTGGGATTTCAAAATAAATCGCACAGCAACATTGGAAATTTTTCTCCTCTACAAGAGACAATTAGGACTTCAATATTACGTTCCGTCTCTTTTGTCCGCCAGCATCAAATAATTTTTTCTATAGACGATAATGGATTTTTGCATAGGTAGCACTTATAATTCTGATTTCAAAATGTAATATATGTCATAAATTGGCATTGCCAAAACTTGGTTATTCCAGAGAAACAGAATTTCATAGATAGGCCGTGTAGTTATCAGATAGTAATTTGTTTCGTATACCAGACCAGATCTCAAATTGAACATAGTAACAGAGTTTAGAAGATCAAGAAAAAGGGAAATAAACCGAGCAATAAACGATGCACAGAGAAGAGTCAGGCCTTCCCTATAAAATAACGAAAAAGGTGAACATCTAAATCTGACCTATGATTTATCTCTGCTTATTTATGACAGATTTTATTTCGTCTGCAGGTTTCACCATACCTTTTTATTTCTTTATAATTTTCGTTCCAACAACAAATTTATGGCCAACTCATATATCACTGAATTTAGGACTGAAAACTCCATTTTTGGAATCAGAATTAAAAACTCTGTTCACCTGTGCAAATATTCAATATGGCGTCCATAAAAAAATAAGGTTGATGCCGGAGGACAAGAGACGAAACGTCATATTGACATTCTAATCATGCCATTTTGCAGAGGAGAAAAGGTATCAATGCTGTTGTGCAATTTATTTTGAAATTCCACTTCAAGTAAAGTCAGGAAAAAATTAATACGATTTGTGGAAAATTAAGGTTTTCCGTCTCTCTCCGGAAATACTTTGAAACCAAGCCCTATTTGGAGTAAGAGAACGGGAATTTAATTTTTACCTCTTCTGGTTCAATCAGTTTGAACTCCATTCCTCTCCCAGTCCAAGCGATGCATCCAGCGCTGGTATCGGGAGCATCGAGAAGTGCAACTAGAAACTGCCAAAGTTGCAGAGAGCCTCGCCTTCCTGAAGCTTGGAAGTGACTGCTCTTGCTCTCATTCATATCCCGTTGCTTTTGATATTCTTGTCGTTCTGACAGATCCAGGCCATGGGTGTTCGTGTGAGGTTTCCATGAGGATTTACGCTGGATTGCTTTCGATTTGTCAAAGGATACGCCTGGAATTGTTAAAACAATCAAATTAATTGCCCCTTTGCAGCTTGAGGATTTATGTATATGTCTTATCGCGTTTTTTTTTAATTTTTTGCAGATCACAGTAAAACTACAGGAATTATTTTTATTCATCCAGCTCCCTCACATATACATATTGCAACGAACTCACCGGCTCTCCTATCCAAAATCTAATTTATTACTACTACACTAATTTTTTACTATGTCGACTAAACTATTATTCTATACTAAGTGACATATAAATCCGAACACCCAGTTTAAATGGTTTTATTTTAATAAAATTTTGTATAAGCACTTAATGAAGCATAATAAGTAAATGATAAAAATTTCAAAATGATTGCACTGCTTTAAAGCCCTTTGACCTTTAATAATGTGTGGATGCACCCTGATGTGCTACGCATTCTCCAACGTCCTAGGCATGCTTCTGATCAGGTGGTCAATGTCCTCCTGTGGTATCTCATTCCAGGCAACCACCAACTCCTCTCGAAGTGCTTCTAGAGTCTGAGGAGGACGTTGCAAATTGAGCAATCTCCTACCCATCATATCCCACACGTGCTCAATTGGGGATAAGTCGGGAGATCTTGGTGGCCATGGTAACAATGTGACAGCATTATGTTGAAAGAAGTCTATTGTGACTCTTGCAACATGTGGTCGGGCATTATCTTGTTGGAAGGTTGGATCTGCCAGGGTGTCAAGATAGGGTAAAAGATGGGGTTCTAGAACTTCGTGGATATAACGCTGCGCGTTCATGTTACCTCTGATGAAGATTAAAGGTGACCTGGAACCATAAGCTATAGCACCCCAAACCATAACTCCAACAGTGTGATGAACATGTCTTTCGACAAAAAACTGTGGATTCCTCCTTTCATCACGTCGCCTTCTAACCCTGGCACGACCATCGTGCATGCCTAAACAAAATCGAGACTCGTCACTAAAGACAATACTGTTCCATTCCTGATCCCAGAGTGACGGTTGTCTGCACCACTCAAGGCAATTACGTCGGTGTTCTCGAGTTAAAGGGAGGACCCAGTGTGGCCGGTATGAAAACAAGCCAAAACTTCTCATTCGTCGGTAAACACTTCGCATGCCAATAGGTCTTCTGTGTTCGGCAAACCATTCATTTGCAATGGACCTGGTAGTGGAGAAACGGTCCCTTAAGGCCAATAATCTTAGGCGGCGATCTTCACGGTCTGTTGTTCTACGGCGGCATCCAGTGCCCCTTGCTCTTTGCGTAAGGCCTTCTCGAAGCCATTCCTGACAACACCTAACCACAGTGTCTACACTTCTTTGCACTCTAACTGCAATTATATTAATATCAAACTCACTAAGTTGACGAAATCGTACAGGTCTCCGTACTCTAGGCATCGTAACCGATCGTAAAGGATGTCAAGAACCAAAATCCGCCAACGTTGATTCTTTACTGCGGCTGAAATATTCATTTTTAGAGCGTTAGTGAATTATAAAAAAGCAGTATAAAAACCGGAATGTTCAACTGATAAGGCTGAAAATTTTTTCACTTGTTATTTACAGTAAGATAAATACATTCACCGACTTTTATTAAAATAAAACCATTTAAACTGGGTGTTCGGATTTACATGTCACTTAGTATATCTTAATTCCGCGCCGCTGACGGTCTCGACTGTGTCTAAAGGCGGGTTCTCATTAATCAGTCGTATTGATTAACAATAATGAATCTATGCCATTGAACATAGAATTGAACGGTAAATTTGATCACGCTGTGCAAATCGATAGAGCAATATGGTTGATGGATGTTCACATTAGACTATTTCACTTCAGTTGCATAGATTCATTATTACTGATCAATAAAATTGACTAATGAGAACGCGGCTCAACTGTATTTATCAAGGCGTCGAAAACTATTCGGGGACTTCCATGGAATTGGTCTAGATGGCAGCAGGTGTTTCCAGACGATATGGAATACTCGCTTTTGCGTCGCGAACGGTCCAGAATGCAAGCACGCTCCATACATGGTCGCGTAACTCTGGCTGCCTATACGTCGGCTCTGCCAAGCGACTCCTCAAGCTCCCAGCTCTACGAGGGCGTTACATTATGCAATCGACCTCTCTGTGCGAAAGTTTTTTGTGTACGTTTGTCATTTGTATCGTCAACGTCTTCCACATTTATGTATGTCACTGTCAGAATAACAAATTCTCATGGGCGTGCGATTTGAGTAGTTTATCTTTGTTGATATGAAACAAAGTAATGCCTGAAGATGCAACCACAATGTAGAGCAGAGGTTTTCAAACTCAAACAATTGAAAATTGACCAGTGGAGGCTGGTATGAACAATTTAAAATTGAAGATCGAGGGGTGGGGAAGGTGGCGGCGTGCTTCTGGGAACGAATGCCCTTTTGGCAATTGAAAAATTCGCCGCCCCCCAAATCAATTCATCGCCCCCCAATTTTCTTTAGGCTCCCTACCGCTCCGGCAGTTCCCGAGCGGCCACAAGAGGGCGTTATCGCCCACTTTGAGATTGATGTAGAGAGTATGTATTAAATTTATTTTCAGTAAGTCAATGAAAAGATGTCACTCAATTCATGTATGTGTGTGTGTGCAAGAGCGAGTAGCAGCTGCGCTAGGGATCGGCTTGCGTACAGCGTATTTTTTTTAAGAAAGTTAAGCTCCGCACATGGTACAGTTAGTCATTCTGTTTATTTATTTCGTATGACATTATGACATATCAAACTAGGAGACGGCATAATAACATGTCTTTACAAGAATATCTCCCAGTTTAGCCTTAAAATTATGCATATCTCCATACTCCTTAATTTGATTTGGTAGCCTACTGAAAATTCGTGGATCCAGTATTGGGAGTGTGGTCGAGTACTAGTTAAATTTGTTTAAAAACGTATTTTAGTAAGTAAAAGTATACACAGTGATTTTGTATAAAAATTATGATGGTAACGCAAAAATCTTAAGTCGCTTAAAGATATTCTTACAAGTACTCCTACGACTGACTCCGATCATACATGTAACCACTCTTTTCTGGGCCAAAAATACTTGCTGGACATTTGTGGGCAAACCCCAGAAGCATAGTGCATACCTCAGTCGTATCTGAACTTCAGCATAGTAAACAGAAGCTGTCTGTGCTTCAGTAAGAACCGTTCGAAAATGTTTCATAAGATATGATTGGGGGTTTACCTTTGAAATATATACACAGTGGTCTTTAAAATTTAAACATTATACAGGGTGTTTCAGTTTATTGTTGCATAACTTTAAGATTCGATAGAACTTTTAAAATTAATGCATAAAGTCTATATAAACATGGGTCGAAAAATGCGTGGCTTCCGAAATACAGGGTGTTTAAGTTTACTTTCTAAAATAGTTTTTTTTAAATATTTCGAACAATATTTGACGTCCTTACCATTTGCAACCTGTGCAAGGACTACAGCCAGGGGACGGAGAACGAAGAATCACATTTTGTCAGTGGATTCTTGATAGAACTGATAATAATATTTTTTTAAGTAACGTTTTATGGACCGATGAGTCATGCTTCACTAGACGTGGAGTGGTAAATTTTCATAATCAACATATTGGGTCGCATGAAAATCTGCATGAAGTTCGGGAAAGAAATTTTCAGCATGAATTTAGTGTGAACGTGTGGATTGGTATCTACTGTAATCGACTATTTGGACCTTACCTTTTGCCTGCAAGGTTAAATGCTGCGACCTTCTTGGAATTTTTAAAGGCTGAACAACAAATATGTGGGATGATGTTATGTTAGATTTAAGAAGATTGGCCTGGTTCCAGCTTGATGGTTGTCCAGCTCATTATTCGAGAATAGTTAGAAACTGGCTGGACGAAAATTATCCAGAAAGATGGATCGGCCGTGGAGGACCAGTCGCCTGGCCTCCACGATCCCCTGACCTAAATCCATTAAATTTCTTTCTAAAAGAAAAAGTGTACCAGACTCCCGTAACCACAAGATACGAGTATATGCTAATAGACAGAATCAGGAATGCATGTGTAAAAATAATATTGGAAAATTAAACAAACTAATATTCTGTTTTTTGTGTTCATTTGGAGTTAGGAATTATTGCTGTGTTTAAAAACACAATCTTAACGATCATCTTAATTACTTGTAATGCCCAAATCGTAAATGTAAAAAAAAATAATTAAAAATGCATCGAACCTTAAAAATCGAAATATCTCAAAAACGGATAACTATAACGAAAACTCACAGGAGAGCTTTTTTATGTTGGAAAGTGCGAAGAATCAGTTTTTTTATTCAAAAAGCAAAAAATTGCACTAAGAAAAAATTTTGCGGTCATTTTAATACACTACAGGTACAGTAGAGAGCGCCCTCTTACGGCTACAGTAAAACTATGCCCATGGTTCGTTTTGTCGTACTACAAAACACTTGTATACCAATTTTCACTGTTATACATCAAATATTGTTCGAAATATTTAAAAAAAAAACTATTTTAGAAAGTAAATTTAAACACCCTATATTTCGGAAGCCACGCATTTTTCGACGCATGTTTATATAGACATTATGCATTAATTTTAAAAGTTCTATGGAATCTTAAAGTTATGCAACAATAAACTGAAACACCCTGTATAGATACAAGCCCAAGAATTTCACTTGCCTGTCAAGGGACATTTTTGAGCCATTAAAATGGAAAATCGGGCAACTGATGTTTTTTTTTTCAGAATTTAATTAGAGCTGATTGTTGCTAAACCACTCGAGAATATTTTGCAGTAAAACTCCACAACGTAGCCGCACACCTATTCGATATCATCACTGAAATATCTGCATATAAAATGAATCTGCCTTCAGAGGAATAGCACCCAAGGTCATTTAAGGATAGACTCAATACCACAGGTCCTAGAATAGAACCCTGAGGGACCTCTATGATGTTGTGAGCCATGTCGGACTTATTAGGCGCATTCAGACCACTATCGACGATACTCAGAAATTGACACCTATTCTCTAAAAAAGACCTTACCAATGATATGGTGGACCA